AACCTACTTTTGTCCCTTTTCTAATATTCTTTCCATACCATTGACTAAATAATGTTTTAAAATGAAAATCTGTTAAAATTCTTCAATGGATAAAGTATAAAATCCTTCGCCAGTACACACCTTTCATGATCTGATCCTCCTTATATTCCCAGCACCATTTCACATCATTTTTTTTCTCCATTGTTTCCAGGAATTCTAGCCTTCTTTCAGTTCTCTCTTGCTTCAGGATATTTGAATATATTATTCCCTATTCTTAAAATACTTACCCTCTCTTGCTCCTAATGTCGGGAACCTTATTTTCTTATTTATAATATCCATCACAGTTGTAACTGCTAACAGCCCCCTTACAGCATAAACTCGATGAGGGCAAGCCTCCACGTCTAGCTGGTTCATCTCTGTGTCCCAAGTGCTAAACACGAACCTATCACTTATCGGGAATGTAACTAATACCATACTTAGGTGATCATTTTCACCACTCAGACAGGGTCACACCTTCTAGCTGACTGAATCATTGCTAAGTCTCTCATTTTATGAGACATTTTCTCCAATCCTTTACATCATACACAAAAAAGTATAACTGCCCCTCAAACATCCTCATCAATTCTATTTTTACTGAGGGAATCAGTAAAAAATGTAAGGAAAATAGATTTAGTTTATATCCCAAGAGTTGAATGTTGTTACAAGTCTAAAAATTTATTCATAAAATATAGTAAGTCATGTTCTTAAGAATTTGAAGAAATAAAGAAAAAACAACAGTGTTAGTGTTATGAAAAGAGATACATGTGGCTCTGAACAAGAGTCTCAAGGGACAGCTCCGTACTTGAATTGTAAAAGTGCTGAAATGCAAACATCTTAAATGGAAGTGACCAGCATGTATCCTGGAAAGCTGTTAGATGATTCCAAAAGCAGTTCTTTGACAAAGAAACCAATGTAGAAGATAAATAGGAAGAGTTTTATTAATACTACTCATGGACTATGAGCATATATAAAAAAGTAATATTTCTAAATCAATCTATTATTGCATATCTGATTTTTAAATATGTATGAATAATTAAATTTATACATTAGCTATTACAAATAGATATTTGACTATTTAGTCTATCCTCAAAATTTATATATTGAAGCTACCACAAAAAACATCTTTCTGTATCTTCACATTCTGAAATAGAAGACTAACTTACAGTCAAGATTGCCTGACAACGGGATATGTTAATACTCAAATTCCAAAATTTGTACTCAAATTTGTAAGTACACAGCCTTCTCAGAAAACTACTTTAAAATGTAAAATACTCATTGAGGTGAGTCAGTTCTAATTTTTTTTAAATCAACAACAGTATTTTACAATAATTCTTAAAAGTGAATCATAATATTATTAAATGTTGATGAATGTTTACAAATGACAGCATTTTTGGAAGAAACATGCCTTCACAGCTTTGAACTTCATTAAGAGGTTCTATTCTGGTGACATTCCAGCAGGTCTTAGTTTCTAGTCCAAATAAATTCATTATTCCCATGAATGTCCGATACCAGGAGGCTATGATTACCTTTAAAAAGATAAAAACAAAGAGATAATGGAGGAAAATACATTCTCTTCATAATAATCTTTCCAAAATACCATTTTGTGATGGTTGCCTTAGACATTATAAACTCTGACAAGTTTATTTAGATCATTTCACTTGGGAATCAGTCACTTCAAAATTATACATTATGCTTCTATATAGAAAAATATTACATATGTGGTAACCAATTCTGTAATATAATAATAGTAACTGTAAGTCAATATAAAAATATATAATTAAAACATGGTGATTAATAGAAAAACACAAAGATTTATAGAAACATTTCATAATTCATTTCATTTAGATCCTTGAATTTATTTTTTCGTAACATATATAAAATATATTATAAAAACTGGAACAGAATATGCCCATTACAATTTTAACCAAGCAGAAGATTTAATTGACCAGTTGTTTCCAATCTGCAAGCTATTTTTAAAAGTTCATAGACAAAGGAAAAATAACACAAGAAAAAAATTTCCAACATAATGTTCATGTCTCAGAGGTTTTTAAAAAATAACATTATACATTCTAGAAAACTAATGAGAGATCACTGAGGGGGAAAGTCAACAAATAAAGATTTGAAAAGAGAAAGCAAGCACCTCTTAGAGCTAACCATTTTTAATATTTTGGTGATTGGCCAGGCGCAGTGGCTCACACCTGTAATCCCAGCACTTTGGGAGGCCAAGGTGGGTGGATCACGAGGTCAGGAGTTCGAGACCAGCCTGGCCAACATAGTGAAACTCCATCTCTACTAAAAATACAAAAATTAGCTGGGCATGGTGGCAGATGCCTGTGATGCCAGCTACTCAGGAGGCTGAGGCAGGAGAATCACTTGAAATCGGAAGGCAGAGACTGCAGTGAGCCAAGATCACACCACTGCACTCCAGCCTGGGTGACAAGACCGAAACCCCATCTCAAAAAAAAAAAAAAATGTTGGTGATTATATTTCCAGTCCTCCCCCTAGGCATTTAAAACATGAAATTAGAGTTACTCAATACTACCTAATGAGATCATATTATCAATGTTAATGTAATATACATTACTAAACATCATAAACATCTTTCCACGTCTCATAAGTATAGATTTATTATGCAGCCTGATATAGTAGGAAAAACATAGCTTTGATGTCAGAATTGAACTCAAATTCTGACTCTACAAGTTATAGTTTCTATGGTCTCAAGAAATTCTTCAACAGCTGTCAATCACTTCATCTCTCAAATGAGTTTAATAATAACTATTCTACAAGAGAAGTGAGATAAGAGCTCACATATACAGTCATATGTGTCCTAAGTATAGTGCTGGCATATAGTATGCAGTGAATGCTTTTACCTTTTTAAAACATTCTGTTCTAAACTTACATTTTTATTTGTAAATGAGAAATTTATCTCCTGTGAACACAATAAGTATGAACATAAAATTCAACATTGCAGTACTACGTAGTGTTGGAGTAAATCTAGATCCTCTCAATTTTTTATCTCTGTGATGTGAAAAGACTGGGAACAAGTCCTGTTCTTCACAATGCTACCAAGTTTTAAAAACAACTGAACTACATTATAATTACTTTTGACATTTTTCATAATGTCCAGAAGAAACTGAAAACTGTGCTTACTAATTATTAAATAAACATGTTGAATAATTTTAAAAAATGTTGTCACTGGAACCATACTGTTAGAAATTAATGAAACAAGAAATAGAGAACTTTACTATGTAATTAAAAGATTCAGGTATAACCAAAAAATTAAAAATACCAATTATCAAACACTGAGAGAAATGGGGCTAGTGTAATAAGTTAAACCCTCATTTTATATATACAGAGAAAGTCAACAGTAACTGAAATTGAAGATTACAGGAAATAGGTTTTTGCATTCGGGTTTTTGCATTTACATTAGTTATGAAGATAGCCATTAGAGTAAATAAAAACAGAAGAGTGCCTCCAAAGAGTAAGCAGGGATGCAGAGAAAGTTGGTGCAGAAATTTGTGGCTTTAATCTTAGGCAGATCTATATTATCCAATTGTTACTATTGCAAATTACATTAAAAACTTACAGAAATCAAAATCTGAGAAATTTTCCAAGTACCTGGAAATTAAGCAACACAATTTTATTTTATTTTGTTATTTGTGTGTGTGTGTGTTTCTAGAAGGTTTTAAAAAATTATTATTATTTTTAAGTTCCGGGGTACATGTGCAGGATGTGCAGGTTTGTTACATAGGTAAACGTGTGCCATGGTGATTTGCTGCACCTGTTGACCCATCATCAAAGTATTAAGCCCAGCATGCATTTGCTCTTTTCCCTGATGCTTTCCCCTGCCCTGCCCTTCGCCTGCAAGCCCCAGTGAGTGTTGTTCCCCTCCCTGTGTCCATAATAACACAATTTTAAACTGCTGATGGATCAAAGAAGAAATCACATGAGAAATTAGAAAATAATTTGAACTGAATGAAAATGAAAATACAATATACAAATATTTAAGTAATACAAATGTTTACTATTGGGAAGATGGAGTGGATGTACTTTTCCTGATTACTCCCTTGAAGTACAACTGAAAACCCTTTGAGTTATATACAAATCAAACATAAGAAGACTCTGAAAAGTAGAGAGAAGACAGACTTGAGACCCAAAGAACAACAGGGTTATGAGTTCCATGGGATCTCTCTGTGCCTCATTTTCTCAGATTTGGAGTTAAAGAGGCTGGCAATCCAGAAACGCCAATGGCCACTGCTATGGTTTGAATGTGTCCCATCCAAAATTCAGGTGTT